ATCCTGAAAAGGGAGATTAAAGCGGCCTGAAAGATAACAGAAAGGAGCTATACCTCACACAGATATGCAAGACCACGCTGTACATGCCTTTATAACATTATCTATTCATAGTGGAGAATTTATGAGATTAACTTCAGCTCTTTTCTCACTGAGCGCAGAGCTGGACAGAAACTGGCTTTACACCACAGTGACAGACGCCTCAACTCTTCTCCTCTGAATGAGATGAGTGTGTTTGTGTGTGTGGCTTCTTTTTTTAATTCAATGTGTATATGAAGGGCGTCTTTTTGCCTGTTTCATGACCATCTGTCAAATGACAGACTAAGCAAACTGCTGCCAAAGTGACGCAGCACAAGAGAAAGAGACAAAGTGAGGACATCAAGTGTGAAAGACATACAGACAGAAAGAACAAAAGACAGACACATGGAGGAAGAGAAAAGATGCAGGAGGGGAGTACATAAGTATACATACAGAGCAGCTAAGCTAACTAGCTGCTGGCTGTAGCTTCCTATTTACAGTACAGACATGAGAGTGGTATCAATCCTCATCTACCACACTGTAACAACCTGAAACAGACCTGTGCATTCATGTCATAATTCCCTCATATGATCCCATCTGGAGTTGGGAAGTTGTTCTTAGGATTTCTGTGTGTTTATGAGACTGTAGTCGTTATATGAGAACAAGATGGATGCTAATAAGAGGCTTCGTTGTACATTATCGCTCATTGATATCTGTTTCTGTTGTTTTCAGTCGAGAATAATTTTTTCCGCCACACCACATGAATACAGCACCAATTGCAATGTTAACAAAAGTGATATGAGTGATTTGGATCTGCTCCTAAATGTAATGGCTTCTTCCTTTGCCCTTGATACACCCGTTTACCAATTTCTATGAAAATCGGGCCAGTAGTCTTTCGGTTGATGTCTCCCGTGTTTAGATGTCCTTTTGTGTGTGCACAGTTTTAATCAATCTTGTTTGTGTTTGGGGGCCAGGCAGATAAAAGCTGGGGCCATTATCACTAAGAGGTTTTCAAAGCCATTCATGCGAGTTATAAAAATAGCCCTCCAAACATCTGCTCTACCCTCTTCAATGATGTTTCAATCAGCGAGAAGTCATATTTATAGCAACCATTTGTTGATCAATCACGCGCAGAGCATTGTTCTCATCAGCTCCCAATGCTTTCTTTCCCGGTGCTATCAGTGATGGACTGCAATTCCCATAAATCGCAGGGGGATTAGATGGGAAGGGAGCAGCACAGATGCAGCTTGAGAAGTGTACTTTAATTACTTTTTTAACCACATTTTACTCTTTTTTTCCCACAATGTTTAGTTCCCATTTTATCTCAAAACTATCTATCGATGAATTACTACAGTTAAAAGAGTAGGATAAAGTGATTGCTGATTTGATCCCAGCACTGGCTCTTCAAAAGTGTGTTGGGGGGGGTCACAAGCCTGGCAAAGGCATGGGAGACATGCAACATAATGTACAAAGAATATAAAACATTTAAAAAGTTTTATATCTAGTTATTTATTTATCTACAATGTCCCTGGTGAATGGTCAACACAGCTGATTGTTCAGCCAGCTGTCTTTCATTTAAATCTTCTTGTGAATTGGTTGTAAATAGAGAACAGCTGCTTGAACTATCTACCTATCAAAGATCCTTCAGCAGACTGTCAGCAGGTTGTTACATATTTAATAACATGTGGTACTATAACACACATCGCTGAGTCACAAACGATGGTATGATCCCCCATGAGACACAGATTCCCAATGCATCTTGTAGCCCTCATGTTAAAATGCTCATAATAGCCTGAATAACATTGGCATATCCCACATGTCTCAATCACAAAATGTTGCTATGGAATTAGGCCTAATTCGGAAGATGCTGTTTACATAACAGCTGTTTACATTTTTCTAATTTGGAATATTTTCTTATTTGGAATAAAAGTGTAATATTAGTGTGAACGTAGTCAGTGTGGGAAACTTGAATGAAACGGAGCCATTGTTAATGTCATCAGTATCACCAGTGCTGTTTGTGCTGGTTCCATGACACACTGACATACCTACATGGGCAGTTGGTAACGTTATAACTTCCACATGTGCTTTATTTATAGGATTTTAAGGAAAGGTCTGTTAAGCAATGCCACTTTTGCAACACTGAGTTAAGGACTGTGCCATATGATATTGCGCCATTTCATATTTAAAACATTTGCCTCATTATAAAAGCAGAAATTAAACCATTATAATTGTACGGCTGTCTTTCTTCAGGGCAGCAGGCCTGGTTTTATAAAGTGCTTTTGGAAAGTGCATGCATTAAGGAACAGACCTGTTGTCTTTGTGAACTTACCAAGGACTCCTTTGCATATGAATCTGCACATGAGATGTATACTCTGGAGGTCTTTTCTCATGAAACACAGACTTACACTGATTCAAGATACAACTATTAAAGTATCGAACAGAAGAACTGAGCTGTGGATCGTGAGGCAGACGTGCATGATAAGAAACAGGGGAAGCTTAATGAGGCTCAGAAAATATTAAAGACATGACCGATGTAATCAACTTGATGCATACTCACGCTCATTAGCTGCTTAAGGGTCTTAAAATCGTGTTAGTGATATACTTCCAACCGGCAAAATGTATTTTTTTTCTCCAAAGTTGTCAGTGCATTTAAATGTGAGTATACTTGCTTCAGGGTAAGTGACAGTCTAGAGCAGTGAAGATTGAAGGGCAAAAAGGTTTCTTCTGGTTTCTAATCTCCATCTGATCAGCAGTAAAGCTGAACCTTTTTTTATCACCAGCTCAAAAAAGAAGCCCATGAAACCTTTCAGTTTGAGGAGTTGAACATAAGTGTCAGAGAGACAAAGCAGCCCCCGTAGCAAAAGTCTGAAGCCAATTTGGAGCTTTGTTTCACTTGAAAATGTGTCCTGTTTTTCCCTCAGAGCCTGTCAAACTGTTTCTGCAGCAGGTATACTGCCAGCCTTCTTCCTACACTGAGTATTACCATCTGACTGTTCACGCACTCAGCTCAGGGTGTCCGCGGGGTCTTAAAAAGTATTAAACGGAATTTTCCAAGGTATTACATTTTGTAGCTTGTTTTCAATATGTTTATAAATTGTCCAAAGAGGTTGTATTCTACAGTCTGCCTGAATGTAATCATTGCGTAGGTGTGTGGTGTGATTCTGTGTAGTTTATTTATGGCATCCCGTTGGATTTGACGTCATCTGAACAGGACATCGCACGCTCACTGCTTGATAGCGCGCGAAGGTCCGTTTACGCCGGTTGTTAAACAACATCGTTTTGGGGAAATGCAAGTTTGCGTCCAAATGGTTGGAAGATAAGGAGGAAGGACAATCAATACTGTATATAGTAAATGTGAGGTAAAGTGTGTCGCCAATGTAACCGGTTAAAACTCGAAGTGGCGATGAGGTCTTAAAATGTGTGGAAAGGGTCTTAAAAAAGGTCTTATAAGGTATTACATCTGACTTCAGGATTCCTGCATATACCCTGCAGCTGTCATAAACATAAATAAATTGATTTCATGTAGGTTATATTTGTATAGAGGTTGTGGGTGTTTCAGTTTCAAATGGGTATAGTTTTAGATTAGGATTGATGCGCTATTCACTGTAGATAAATGTAAAGGCCTAAAAAGCATGATTTTAAATAATGTGAAAATCTCTTTTCTACCCGTCAACGCTTCTCTCTGTATAGTTAAACTGTTGAACACTGTTTGTGGTAGTCTCTGAAGTCACCCTGACATTGGCTCTCCTAAAAGAAAACAGATCAATGGAGTATTGAGGAGAGGCTGAAGGTGAAAAGTAACTGCAGAGCAAATAATAAGGTTGGAAAATAGTTTTCTGACGTGAAAGGCGACGGACAGGACAGAGAATGAGCGGCGCTAATTACTGTGACTCTGTGTATCGATCCAGTGGCTTTTAATGGACACACGGAGGGGTGTGTCATCGGTCCATTTGGAGACGCTGAATGCTTGAAGTGTGTTTCTAAATGCACCGGTGGACTGGATGAATGAATGACCTAATTAATGAAAGGGAGGAAATGAAAAGAAGAGATAAAAGAGTGGCTGAATGAATGGATGACTTTGCCAAAAGCCTGGGCAATATATGCATTTAATATAAATGTTGTGACATAAGATTCACTGCACCTTTCTTTACAGTAATTTGTCATATTCTTTACATATTTCCTTTTTTCCTGTATATTTATATTTCCTGTAAACATTACAATAGTTTTCGTGGTAAATATAAAATGTGTCTAATGTGTAAATGTACCTGGCAATCACTTGATTCTGATTTGAGACGAGTGATAAGATATTTGATCATGTTTAGGATATATGTTAATATGCCATAAGTGTAGTCTATTCCTGATTTTAAAGGCTGCTCTTTGATTTGCTGTTCCCCCATTAGACATTATATCCACAGTAATGCTGATTAAGGATTATGTTTTTTAAAGAAAATCACATAATGGAAAAAATGTGTGAAAACATCAATGGTCCACCCTACAATATCATCAATGTAGCTGATCAAATGATTGAGATATTTGATCACCCTGCCTTACTTTGCTTATATCAAACCACTGCACACACTCATCAAATGAGTTCAGTCTGATTACCTGGCTGTGGATGACTCAATGAGTGGATGAAACATGAATGAATTGATTTATCATTCAGTGCTTCGCCAGAAGACGTTTTTGATGTTCAACTTGATCCTGTTGCGGAAATGGATTTAACTCGAGTGGACTCAGCTGAGCTCTGGTCTCATAAGGTTTTGATTATAATGAAGTGAGGAAACGAGGAATCATCTTAAAAAGAAAAAACTGGTTTACATCGAGTTAGTTTTCTTATAGCGTGTTAATCTTCAGCAAACAGCGCATGACCCCAAAAAAAACAGATGTCTGTGTGTTGTGGATCATGTGCCTCTCACCTGCTAAATGTTTATTTATTATCGGACTAAATGGTGTGTATCCGGGCTAATCTGTGTGTTTGTTTTCAGGATGAATGGGGCTCCAGTGACTCGTCGAGTAAGAGCAAAGCTCAAATCTCTGACGACAAGACTAAAGGCCTGGAAACTCTACCGCCAGGTGCGAAACTTCACTACCCATCTTGCACTGCAACCACACAATGCCTAAACAAGATAATGTATATTTCTGTTATAGCCAAAAAGGTCTTAAGTATATATTTGTTTATCATATCTATAACCAGGATGTCTGACAAAATGTGCTTCAGGATCTGGAGAGATTTCAGTGTGTCATTGTTTCTGCTCATGATTATAGTAAAGGAAAAGGACAAATACATCCCAGCTGTAAAGCATGTGCATGGCTGACACTGTACACCACAGTTATGTATCCAGAAAGACACATCATGTCCCCACAACCCAAACCATTTCCTTTTTGAAATGTGGTGACATAGTGGCTTAGTTTTATAGAGCAAGAACAGCCTCTGCCTCCTTCACCTTACCATGTTTAAATAACCACTGGGAACGAGAAGACAATTCAACATTCAATTCAGCTATTGAAAATAATTCAAGTATCTACTTCAATCTCGCCGCAAACCCAGCTATGCGTCTCCACCCAGGCTTTGAGAAACATTGTTCCAGAGTTCGACAGTCGCAGCATCTGAGCCTCGATTTGTCATTCAGCTCTCGTCCGCGCCCCGACTCAAAGCCGCCCCTCCCTCACAACCCTCTGACTTGTAAAGGCTGAACACACACTCTCTTATCTGATCCAGCGATGGAAATGGAATCCAATTTGAATGTTGAAGTGGAGGCATTTTAACTTCAGGGTGACTCGATTACAACGACACCAGGCAGCGAATCGCAGCATCCCTCACAACACACATACACACTTAAGACGAGAAGAAGGAAAGAAGTGTAAAATAAATGAAGAAGTAGGAGACTGTAAAAGCGAATAAACCAAATGAATATAGTCCCCAGAATAAGTATGCGCCTTTAGTTTCTAGTAGCCCTGCTTTAAACATTTCAATTGTGGCACCTAATAAAAACAATTATCCTCAAATCTTCATTCTAAAACATTTATACTTAGCAATGTACCAAGTAAAATCTTATCAGAGAGAGGGGAGGGGATATGAAGCAAGCAAAGATATTTAGTTTAAAATAATAGAAACATATAACAATATATCATAATGTATTTGTTGATTTGATTTTGTGTGAATAATCTGAATATGCAAGTCATTTATTTCATAAACACATATCGTGAAGTGAAAAAGAGGCTACTGCATTTGCCTCCGACATGTACAGAAGCAAACTATAAAGCAGCATAAAATGGAAGTAAGGTGGTACCTTAAATTGTACCCAAGTACAGTAATTGAGTAAATGTAGGCTGCTTAATTACTTTCCACTGCTGCCTGCTGGTAACCGTGGGTTGGAAACTGGACAGTACTAAAGGATGTGTAACAAAAGAAAATGAGCGGTCAGCCGCTGAGGATGGAAGATTTTGGTGATGAGACTATAAACTATTTCAATTTAAACTGACCACTCCTTTCTCTGATACAAAAACACAAAATCAAACCACCAGCTGGGAGTGGATACCTGAACCTGCTTAAGAGAGTATTTGAAAATCGATTTGTATTAATCTCACTGAGAAATCGAACAGTTCATCTGCTTTCTTTGGTTTAGCAAACAAAGAAAAGGAGGCTTGAACATGTGTGTGATATAGACTTTGGAAGCCTAATTTAAATACTCGCAAAGTGAGAAGTTGAAACTTTAATTTCACTACATTAATTACTTGCTGCCACTAAACAGATATCAGCAAGGACATCTCACACTCGCGTACTGCAGTGTCTCCGAGGCGCCGCTGACAGTCGCAGGCGAATCAGCATTGTGATTTTCAGCTAATTAGCATGCCAGACACATTCACGTGCTGTCAGCAGAGACGCATGCACACACACTCTCCTGCTCATCAGGCTCCACGTCCCTCTGTCTGTCTGTCTGTCTGTCTGTCTGTCTGTCTGTCTGTCTGTCTGTCTGTCTGTCTGTCTGTCTGTCTGTCTGTCTGTCTGTCTGTCTGTCTGTCTGTCTGTCTGTCTGTCTGTCTGTCTGTCTGTCTGTCTGTCTGTCTGTCATACACACAGGCATCCATACTGAGGGGTAGTGTAATCTCACGCTGCCATATGCTAAACACAAGTCATTAGCATAGCAGCTGCACCCGGCTAATTAGTTGCATTATTATTCGTGTGTGTCTGTGTCTCAGTAGTCGGAGATAAACTGTGAAATTAAACATGAGAACTTTCTCTGTTTGGCGTGCAATGATCTTCTTAATCTGGTCAGACACAATGTGCTCCGTTTGGATGTGTTTAAGGGGGTAAAGATGTTTTCTAAACTTTTATTTTTAGGCCTCAGTATATTACTTAATTCACTAGGATTTAATTAGTGCAGTGCATTTGTTATTTTCTAGCGTTGCCACAGCAGTTCTGGCCTTGTCTTCTGAAAGCTGCACAGCTTCTCATATAAGCATCACAAGTCTCATGTCAGCTTTGCTCACTGCCGTGCTGCCGCCTGTCAGGCAGCAGCTTGAAGCGGCGAGGTTTCCTTCCTGTCAGTCGAGAAGGATTCATTCACCTGGCGGGCTGCTGCCTACACTTCATATTCCGTCTGATGTATAATCCCAATTATTCCTGAGACACATTTTTTGCCTTTTGTGAAGGTTACAACGTCATGTTTGGTGGCAGCTTTTATTTGTGGATACGCTCTGCTTATGTCATGTGTATTACCAAAGAGTTGCATTGTGAATGTGTTTGTTATTGAAACGTTGAGGAACAATTTGTTCTTGGGTTGTTCACTGTCAAAGTACAAACATGTGCCACCGGGTTCGAACCCGGCCTAGGACCACATGCAGAGTGTCATTCCCCCTGTCTTCCCCTTTTATCACCCTCACTATAATAAATACACTAGTTGTTCTTTATTCACAACAGCCTGTATATTAATTCATGATTTAAATGTATACATCAATCCTGTAACCTGTCAGTTTTTCCCAAAATCCATCTTCTGCTGGATTTGTCTTTGAATTATCTGGAATTTTTCTTTACCATTTTGTAATCATTCCACTCTCCATCTTGGTTAAACCTCAAATGTGAAGAAGAACACAAACAAGACAACAATTGCTCCAACTTCTTTAGACATGTATTAATACTACTACTTAATACTTAAGTGTGCCTAATGTTTATGTGTGTGTGTTTCCAGGTAAGGTGCGCTGGCAGGACTTTGACCAGGATCTGTACGTTGGAGCCACAGTGGTGCGAGCGGGTCAGGATCCGTACGCCAGGAACAAGTTCAACCAGGTGGAGAGCGACAAACTCCGTATGGACCGAGCCGTGCCCGACACCAGACATGACCAGTACGTATCTCTACCCTTACACAAACTGTCTCTCTCTCTCTGTGTCAGGGCTGGGAAATATATTCATGTTATTTTGATATCGTGATACGAGACTAGATATCTTTCATATTTTGGATATCAAAATAGGCTGCATTACAGTAATGTGTGAGTGATGTGCTTTTCGTAATTTACCAGATTTTAATTTTTTTTGTCTTTACCCAGAATAAATCCACATTACTGGCAGTTATTTATCTTTTATGTATTTTGTGAAATCATGCAAAATCACGGGTCCACCATACAATATAGTCACAATATCACTGTTAAGGTATTTGCCTTACCTAACCACACTCACCAAAGTGTGATCTTGTGTGTACATGCGGTCCTTTGCTGTCTGAAATGTTTGTAAGAGTGTCAGCAGTGTGTCTCTTTAAGAATTATTTTAAATTACTCCTCGAGAGAACACCTTGTATTGTCTTCTTACCAAGCAGAAGAGCCAACAACTGCAGTCCCTCAGATAGTCACTTGAGCATTTAATAAGGGACCCCTGTGTGAATATTCTGTAAAAACAGTCAGATTTTAACCATGGAAAATAAGATGTTTACTGCCTAATGGTGTCTAAAGTTAATTCCACCAAATATGAGCTTTGCAGCAGCTTTTCAGAGTGTTTAATATTTTATACAGTCTTACTCCATACATTATTATTTCCATCTGTGGAATTGAACCACTCCTGATTTTTTTAAGTTATGGAAAGTGACTGAATGCGAGTGAGTCATTTTGTCATCTCACCTGTTGATCCAGACCCTCCAAAACACACTCAGCCACTCGGCCGGGCTTTTGTTTTCTGGCTTTGCCTCAACCTGCTCTAAAGTGAGAAAAAACATTTTGATTCAGAACCAAGGCTATTTTTCAACTTGTTTAAATGTGTTACTTCAGAGCTTCAGTGTGCAATGTTCAAAACAACAGATAAAGCCAGAAATCTAGGTGTAGTCATGGACTCTGACCTGAGTTTCAACAGTCACATTAAAACAGTTACTAAATCAGCCTACTATCACCTAAAGAATATATCTAGGATTAAAAGACTAATGTCACAGCAGGATTTGGAAAAACTTGTCCATGCTTTTATCTTCAGTAGACTCGACTACTGCAATGGTGTCTTCACAGGTCTCACTAAAAAATCTATTAGGAAGCTGCAGCTGATTCAGAACGCCGCTGCTCGAGTCCTCACTGACACTAAGAAAGTGGATCACATCACTCCTGTTCTGAAGTCTTTACACTGGCTTCCTATGTGTCAAAGAATAGATTTCAAAATACTGTTGCTGGTTCATAAAGCTTTGAATGGTTTAGGCCCAAAATACATTTCTGACCTCCTGCTAAATTATGAACCATCCAGATCTCTCAGGTCTTCAGGGACTGGTCAGCTTTCTGTCCCCAGAGTCAGAACTAAACATGGTAAAGCAGCGTTCAGTTATTATGCTCCAAATATCTGGAACAAACTCCCAGAAACCTGCAGGTCCGCTGCAACTCTGACTACTTTTAAATCCAGGCTGAAGACTTTTCTTTTTGTCGCTGCTTTTAATTGAAACTGAGCCGTTGTGTTCATCAGTAAAGTAGAACTTCTGTGTGAACTATTCACATCTTAAACTGCACTGTAACTTTTATTCATGTATTTTGTATTCATGTATTTTTTTCTTTTACTGTTTTTAAATGCCTTTGTCTTAATGTCTTTCATTTTTGTAAAGCACCTTGAATTGCCTTGTGTTGAAAGGTGCTATATACATAAACTTGCCTTGCCTTGCCTTACTTAATTAAATTATTGAACGCATACATGCTGATCACAATATGCCCTGACGCAAGAAACTATATTTTACAGTATGACATCATTTTCAGTCACTGGTTTAATTCCTGCTGATCTATCTCGGTGTGATATAAAGTCTATTTTTATAAAGGAAGTTATCTGGCCTCACTGATATATTGAGCCAAATCAGATGGCTAGACCCATTAGCCTACTAAAAGATCCGGACGTGTCTCATATTGATCTGGCACTGATGTGTCCCTTGCACAGCACGCAGCAGCACTGATTGTTGAATGTTCTCCAGAACATTCAGGCCCGGGCCGCCTCATCAGTGCTTTTCAACACAAGGTCAAAGTATATTTATTCTAAAGCTTTTAAACACCTGCAGTTCAACATTTTATAAAGTTTAAAAGCCTGTTCTCTATAGGAGCAACACTTTACATTGTCTGGCCTCTTTTTTTGCATCTCTTTTTAAATCATTTTGTTTCTATTTCTCATTGTTTTGGGTAACAGTGTGTTACTTTGATCTTTCTATTCTTAATTTCAGTCCGTGGTTGTTCTGCCCCTTTTTCTTTATGTTTTGTGTTTGTTTGTAGTCAGTTTGGCTGTGTCTATTTGTGATTATTCAACCTCTTTGCCTAGTCGTTGTTAGCCTTTCTCTGGTCTTCTAGCAGCTGCACTGCATCCACTTGTAGTCGTTGTGAGTCTTTTTGTAGATATTTAAATATCTTTCTAGGTCATTTTAGGCCTCCTCCTGCTTTTTGTATGTCTCTTTGATTGACATTTTGTAGGTGAATGTGGGGGGGCGCCCTGCAACACTCAATAATCCATCAATAGATACAGGGACTAAAGAACGGTACACACCATGCTCACAGACGTTCAATACCAATGTGTACTGTCGTTCTATATGTAGTGTACCTATGTGCTATAATAATAGATTTAATTTGTTAGCGCTTTTACAGGTGCTCAAAGACGCTTTACAGATATAGTGAAGAGAAAAGAAAAGGAGAGTCCGTACATCTGGTTTGCGTTTCAGCCTCCAAGGCCAACCTCGGCCCGTCTACACTACAGGCGTCGAAAAAGCTTGAAGCTGGGCGTGTCTGAAGCTTGGCGATTTTTTGCGAGCAACGCGACCAACAACCAATCACATGAATCTCCCGCCCCCGACATACAAAGCAATAGCAATGTTAAAACGAAGTAAACTGGATATAAAATCCCCAAACAGGTGAAAACCTACCAGTTTCACCCACTGTCTCTGCCTCCTCCCTCCATGCCTCGCTCCTCCGGTTTGTATCCCGGTAGATGAACAGAGACTCATCATACAGCACCGGGTGATTCACTACCACTATAATGAATTTTCCCTCCATTTTTTTGAATATGAGGAAATGACCTGCGTAGTCTCTCCCAGCATACACGCGGTTTGATTGGCTAGCGCTTGTAGTTGTACTGGCAGATTTGCATAAACGGGATTTCATTGGCTGACGCCAGCTTCGAGCAAGCATCGAGCCTCAAAAGTTGAACATTGTTCAACTTTTGACGCCGATAGACGCTCGCGATGCTTGCAACGCCTTGCCATGCTACCCACAATGCAGTTCGGCGAAGTTTGAAAATATCCTACGTCACCCCATTCAAATGAATGGGCGAAGCGTTGAAAGCATTTTTTGACGCCTGTAGTGTAGACGGGCCGTAGTCTTTTAAATTTAAGCTGAAGGTTAATTTTCTAGAACTGGATTCTTTCTCCGCACCCAGAGATCTGCCTGTGTGACGTTTATATATATATATATACAAGGACAAGACATCGTGATTTCTTTGTCCTCCACGTGGCTCTTTGTCTCATGTAGCATCCTCACACACACACATACATGTACACACACACACGTACACACACACACACACACACACACACCATCTCATGGGAATTGGGTGGGTACTGAATCCTATTTATTGTGTTCATGTATTCAGAATGTATTTAGGAGCGGTTCCAGCTCACAGCTTTGTTCACACATTCAGCTGTGTGCGTAGGAGTGGATGTGTACATTTGTACACATGTAGGCAATTATGCTGTTCGATGTCTATCCTTTTAAACACATTTTGATGATTTGTGTGTGTGTAGTTGCAGACATAAACAATGGAAGACTGAACTGCCCGCCTCCAGCGTTGTCATCACTTTCCACAATGAAGCTCGCTCTGCTCTGCTGAGGACTGTGGTCAGGTAGGTGATGATTTGTGTGTGTGTCCCAAGTTTTTTCTTTCTTAATGTGTATTTTATCTTCATATAAACTCCCTCTCCTTCTCTGGTTAGTGTCCTGAAGAAAAGTCCTGTTCACTTGGTCAAAGAAATCATTCTGGTAGACGACTACAGTGATAACCGTGAGTTACGCACACAGACAGATTACACAAACAAACCCAGTGAGATCAATGTTAGAAACAGAAATACTTTATTGATCCCTGAGGTTTATGTTACAGTTTCCATTCAAGAATATAGATGTGTATAAATATAAAGAAATTGTACAAAATAAAAATGAATATTATTAAAGGATATGCATTATATTACTATATATATATATATATATATATATATCTCAGTCTGTACACACAAACTGAACGATTGACAATAGTTGACTTTGACTCCTGACTTGAATATACAATTATAAGTAATTTGGTTCTAAAAAAAATATAACATACATTATATGTATTTTTGAAAGATTTTTAAAGTATACAGCAATATATAGTACGCACTGATAATATTTGAAATGGGATCTATGATTAAGTGTGTTAAAATGAAATGAAATGCAGTATTAGTGCTAAAGTCAACCAGATTATTGCACAATAAAATAATTATTGCACAAAATGACTGTATGGTTAAGTCAGCATCGCACAGCAATTATACATAAATAATGGAGTTCTAGCTGCTGAAAGGTGAAATAAATGCAATGTCTGCTCTGTGTGTGTTTCAGCGGAGGATGGAGCGCTTCTGGGGAAAATAGAAAAATTACGCGTGTTGAGAAACGACCGCAGAGAAGGTAGTGAAGAGAATAAATGAACGTTTTATTTCATTACAAGAAACATTAACTAATGAGGCTCCACCTTGTGTTTATCGGTGGGGTTGAAATCATTCTAAATGTGTTTTTATTGACTGGTGTTTCCCTCAGGACTGATGCGTTCGAGGGTCCGCGGAGCAGACGCCGCCGTGGCTCCAGTCCTCACCTTCTTAGACTCTCACTGTGAATGTAACGACCACTGGCTGGAGCCGCTGCTGGAGAGAGTGGCCGAGGTACACACACACACACACACACACACACACACACACACACACACACACACACACACACACACACACACACATCCACCCATGGACCCTCCTTTATACATTAATTTATTATCGTTCATATGTAAAAGATGACTTAATCCAGTTAAAAAAAACAATGATGGGACAATAGACGACGGACAATAGATGTGTTTTGTTTTACCAAGAAAGAAACTTAGATATTGGTTTATTTCAAAGGTGAAACAGTGAGATACTATGAGTCGTTACAGTCCACACGTATCCTCGCAAACAAGCATCCTTCTTTCTCTAAACATGCTCGCCAGGCAAATCAAATAATTTGGCCTAACAAAAGAAAACACCAACCCAACAAATCAAAAATGACTCGGTTTTAATTATGTGCTGTATCTCAGTGCTCAGAACTGATGTTGATAATGTTATCCTACGAAGCCCCCAAGTCCTGTCAGGTGATATTATGTTATCTTCTGCACACATTAATTAACTTGCAAGATAACACAAATATGACCCTATGGGACTCTAGGGGCTCAGTTGTATTAATATTTGTAGCGGAATTAGCTTTTTCACACAGAGGTCAGAGATCAGCAGCATCCTGCAGCCGTCAGTCAGTCACGGCCCGTCCACACAGCGGCGTTGGAAGCTTCTTCCAACGCTTCTGCCCATTCACTTTGAATGGGGTGACGTCACTTTTTGCCGAGCAGAGCTTTCCTGGCGTTTCAGGCTGCAAAAGTTGAGCAATGTTCAACTTTTTAAGCCTCGGCAGAAGCGTCAGCCAATCATATGCCAGTACAAGCTCTAGCCAATCAAACCGCTGCTTGTGCGTCAGGGGCGGGAGATTCATATGATTGGTTGTTGGTCAAGCTTCAGACAAGTCCACCTCCAAGCTTTTTCCAAAGCCGCTGTGTGGACGGGCCGTCAGTGTCTTGTTAACATTCATGTGAAAAACAAGGAGCGCATGACTTCAATAACACAGGAATGTTTGGACTCTCAGAGTAAAAGTACCATCTCACAGCTTCAAAAATGCACATTCCCCTTTTTTCTGATCTGACATGTTTATTCAGTTTAGATTAAAATGTCATGCTAAAGTCAAAAAGTATATAAGCCAGTGAGACGATAAATGAAATACTGATGTTGATCTTTACTTGGTTTATGCTGTAAAAAAAAGAAAGAGTAATCCTTTTCAGAATGTGACCCCTCTGTAAATTGGCAGAATATCATTATCTCTTATTATCTCGATAATAGACGATGATAGTTGTCTTTTATTTCAAGACTCAATACAGTTTTCCACCATGTTTATTTGATCTTGAAAAAGAACCCTACAATAAACATCCTCAAACAGAATAAACCTTAACTCAATTACAGATGAACATTGTGTCGCTATTTAATTGAAGTATTTTAGTAATGACTTCAGAGTTTCTTGATGAATAGTAATCTCAGTCTGAAGTGGGACTCTGTGGGTAATACGGAGGTTGTTTAAATATTTATCTGATATGACTGAATAAAGTCTGATCTGCGTTTGATCCTCCCAAACGCTGTGTTTTGTCGTTCCCTAGTTAATAAACGCGTGGAGCCAAATCAAAAACAATTTGCTGTCAGAGTAATTGACTTTGCTTATCTTTGTTTTAGTTGCACTTCTAAATAATGAATCACTTGAAATAAAAAGGGAACAATGCCATCTGTGTGGGTGAAGCCTCATGAGTCATATCAAAAGGTTTCAACACCAAACAAACTCTCTCTCTGCACCTTGAGGCTTGTTTCTGGGAATTGTCATTTTGGCCACTTGAGAAACCCTCTTTTCTCTAAACTCCTGTGGGAGTGACCTAAAGTCGAGAAGGCAGAGCTGCTCTCCTTGCAGTTCTCTGATAAATATCTGAAAGAAAAACCAAACATATGAGTCATTTACTTTTGAACTACACAAAACCTGGTAGACTTGGATTTGATTTATTTATACACATTTCTTGTCATTCTCATTGTAAGTTCGTTCAGAGCTGAAAAAGTTTCACGGATTTATTTTTCTTCACACTTCCTTCTCAGGACAAAAGCAGAGTCGTTTCTCCTATCATCGATGTCATCAACATGGACAACTTCCAGTACGTAGGAGCCTCGGCTGATCTGAAAGGAGGTACGGTACACATGCAGAGAGTTACACACACACACACACACACACACACACACACACACACACACACACACACACACACACACACACACACACACACACACACACACACACACACACACACACACGATGTCCCTTGATGTTCGGTACTAGCAGCATCACTACCTGTTGAGGTCTTGGCATCCTGTGTGCTTCTTCATAAACAGTTTTCAGACTGTCTCACACACACACGACAAACACTTCCGCTAATGATACACCCAGCATGTTTAGATTAACTCCTCCTGGAAATAAACTTTGTTTTCCACACTGCATACTAGAATCTGAGTATGGAATATACTTATGTTGGTAGAGTTGGTGGAAAGATATTTAAAATCCACATTTAAATGTGTAAAAATGTCTATACCTATATATATTTTTGTTAAATTGTGAACTACGCATTTTGAGAAATACGTAATTTTTACGCCCACTTTAATTTGGTTGCTAGAAATGTTAATGTTTAGCATGTGTCAATGTTGTGGTTGTTTGTCAGAAGCCGACAGAAATGTATCTTTAATCACATTTTAAGCCATATTTTTACGATACAGTTCATAGGTAATGTACCGGTTGAAAGACTGTGCTTTAATTGTCTCCTATCCCAGCATGTGCATCCTATAATAGTATATAGTTCAAAATCAGGACAAAACTATACATTGTTGAGTTTAAGAGGTTTCTCTCTCTGTGCTGACACATGAACACATACAGTACAGACATGTGATATCAGGAACTGCTGCTGTATCCAGTCAACTGACCTGAACCTACCTACCTATGTTGCAAATGTATTATCTTTTCAATTTACACACGGCATCTATTGCACGTCTGTCCGTCCTGGGAGAGGGATCCCTCCTCTGTTGCTCTCCCTGAGGTTTCTCCCATTTTTCCCTTTAAACTGTGGGTTTTCTTCGGAAGTTTTTCCTTGTACGATGTGAGGGTCTAAGGATAGAGGGTGTCGTATTGTCATACTGATATTTTGTACAAACTGTAAAGTCCACTGAGACAAATGTAACATTTGTGATATTGGGCTATATAAATAAACATTGATTGATTGATTGATTGATTGATTGATTGAACCTGCCAGGTCTAATTATATAACTAGCTGTGTGCTACTTTATCTCAAATAATAGTGTTGTCCTTTTGCCCTCTGTGTGTGTGTGTGTGTGTGTTTATGTCGGCAGGTTTCGACTGGAATTTGGTGTTTAAATGGGACTACATGACTCTGGAGCAGAGACGAGCCAGACAAGGCAACCCCATTGCCCCCATAAAGTAAGGCGGACACTATCACACAGACATCGAGGGGTTTAAATGGCAGACTCACTTTGTCTGCCAGCTTCCGCCCCACTTCTAATCTCTTTTCTCCATCCTCCTGCCCTCTGCCCCTGCAGGACTCCAATGATAGCAGGAGGTCTTTTCGTCATGGATAAGGACTACTTTGAGCTGCTGGGAAAGTACGACATGATGATGGACGTATGGGGAGGAGAAAACCTCGGTGAGTGTTGCTAAAGTGCAAATGTAAATTCAGTACACAGTGGAGCGTGTAGACTGTAGAACCACAGACAATGGTGATTAGGAAATCTAATGTGTGATTCTGTAATACATTTTAGAGGAAAATATAGGTTATATGATATATAACCATGTATGAAAATGCATTTATCTCAAAAAGAAAAGATGCTATATGCCAGATTATGGCTACAATTTCATTCCCATCTGCAGTCCGTGGACAGGTACACACATAACAATCAACAAACAAGAATAAAACATATTAAATAAATTAAATATTACTAGGTGAATGACAGGAGCAAAAACACATAATGGAGTGTAATTAAAAGTGGCAGGTAGAGCAAGAAAACTATCACTGTCAGTGTTTAGCATGCATGTACTTCTCTGTTGTAATGTGTTGTTGATGACTGTCTCGCTCCCTGACTTTCCGCCTCTGGTGATGACAGACATGTCAGGAGTTTTGCCAGAAACAGTAAATAGTTTGACATTTTTTGGAAATGCAGATGAGGAGATTGATACCAGAGATCACATGTCTGTAAGCTAATATGAATCTGCAGCTCATAGAGAATTGGGGGCTAGAAAAACGGGCAAGTCAGTTTTGTGTTTTAAAAAAAGTCAGTTAACATTTTAAAGTCAAACCATAGTTCCTCAAATGTTCTGTTCATTGTAAATTTGACACTTTTCGGTTGAAAAACAACATTTATGCTCTCGTTTGGTACTGAAGTAGCTTCATAGATATGTCTCGCTACATGAGCTTATGTTGGGTTTGCATACTAAGAACGGGATAAAGAGCACAGAAAATCCTTTTTTCATTTGAAGGTAATTTCAGACTGCAGTGAATCTTAGAAATTAGAGTGTCATTGTGATAATGATTGTATTGAGAGAAATAACCATAGTGCGCACAATACAGATAATTTCTAGCCATTACAATGAGATGACAACAACTGCATCTCCCCGTGGCCTTTGTCTTTGTCATTCTTCTCTCAAGACGGCACAATGATTCAGAGCGGCTTTGAGAATTCAGATTCTGGTTTCCTTGAGATCATGGTCAGAGAACATTTAATCAGACGCAGACAATGTTCAAGCGGGACTCTGACAAAGTCAACACTCTGCAAACATTAATGAGGTGCAGACAACACCACAACGCTGCTTACATGCTGTTCATTAAAATAACCTGGAAACAGTTGGTTGGAACACATGTTTGACATGTGTGTGTTTTGACATGTGTGTGTGTGTGTGTTTCAGAGATCTCATTTCGGGTGTGGCAGTGTGGTGGCAGTCTTGAGATCATCCCCTGCAGCAGAGTTGGGCACGTCTTCAGAAAACAACATCCATACACCTTCCCCGGAGGCAGTGGGACTGTGTTTGCAAAGTAACTAACACACACACACACACACACACACACACACACACACACACACACACACACACACACACACACACACACACACACACACACACACACACACACGATGGAGGTTAATGAACATTAATTAACCACCAAGGCTCAAACCAAAGTCGAATTCTTTCATTAGATTACTGAACAACAATTAGTCCCATTCACACCCACGCATTGCTGCCAGTTCTCAAATACACTGGATACATTTTGCTGTCCTTTAATGAGCCATAAGATCTTCATTACGCTTTGTATACTTAATGTTGTGTAGATTTGTGCATTGGGTTGGAATGAGAGGTATGTTTATGATGAATGCATGTGTCCTGTATTAGTGATATTAGCGAGACAGTGAGCTGTAGGAAAAAGAAAAAGGTCATGACCCCTGCTAGTCTTTGGATAATTATTGGGCAGCTCAGCAGGTAATGTGAGATGTCTACTAATCGCTGGCTTGGTGGATTGAATGACAAAAATGTTAATTTCCAAATATGTCAAACTATTTGATATGCCTGGAGGGTAAACTCTGAGGAATATCGTGTTAAGGGATCAGAAAAGCTCCAGAACAGCTACTAAAAGGACCTTTTCTCAACAAGCTGCACCATAATATTACAATATTCATAATAACCTCAAATAGCATCTATTCCAATCTAATTACAGTTAGTGGATATAGCACAGCTCTACCAATGTTTTATTTCTGGTTTGGAATATATATTGTAATCATCGTTTTCATGGATATTATTTATATCAATCGCCCCAAACAACTCTTTCTAGACCTCTCTTTATGCTCACACTATATCCGTTTTTCTGTAAACACTGAAACATACATAATGGATTTGTATTCCAGCTTTGAGACTCAAACCAGTGTTGGATAATTAAAACCAAGCACCAGCAATTAAAAAACAATTAAAAAGTAATCACATGGAAAATTGGTTACAGACTAGAAAGGAATGTTCTTCTTAAATATAGCAGAGCTGTTCTTGCATGCGATTCCCTTTAGAGCTTTGATAAATGTGATAACATTATCGGTGAGCATCAGTAATGGGAAACATGATACAAGGGAAGATATGCATCTGTCCTTTATTACAGTCTCCAACCACAAGTAACAACCCTTGGAAACGAGCCCGACAAACCCACTGATAAAGAACTTTAACACAAAGATAACAGGGAATTCATAGCTGTGGTTTCTCTGGTGTGCCCAATGAAGTACGTATCACAAGTAATGAAGGGCATAATAGATCAACTACGCAGAGTGTTTTTGGGCTAGTCTTAAAGGGATAGTTCGAAGGTTTTGAAATGGGGTTGTTTGAGGTACCAAAGTTAGTATATTACATACAGAAGATGGCAGCAGGCATGCCCCTAGTTTGGAGTAACAGACAGGATTAACAAACCGAGGTAAAAGGTTGTCCTGCAATGGACAAGGGCAGCAGCAAAACGTCACTCTCCACAAAACAGTTAATGTCACCTCGCAGAACAAGGGATTTGCTTGACTGCTGCTGCCTCGATTGGTTCGTTTTTTTGTGTGATTCTGAACTTCTGAAAAAAGTAAAGAAACACAAAGTAACTAACCAACTGTGGCAGCAATAGACTTACATCTCCCGTGTTCTGTGGTGTGAAATCGCAGTTTTTGTCAATGGAGTAACTCCATTGGCTTTAGCTCCCCAATTAGAAAGGGTCTGACGTCAGAGTGGTGAAAATATTTTAAATATAGCAGAAAGCTAAACTGATATTGTTTTTTTAGGTGGCTTACACTGTTTAACTCCTGCCCGTCCACAACAGTAAATTGCTTCGCTGATATGTCTGTCTGCCTGTCTTTTCTCCAAAATTAAGCATGCAGAATGTTCCCTTTTTAAGTCTAAGATGCTGATGAAGTGATATTTGTGATGCCAGCCACAGATGAAAATGACTAAATGTTTTCTGATGGCATGACCATAAGGAATGCTCTAGATAGAAGAGAATCAAACAGTGCTCAAGTGAAAAGCACTGACCTCGTAATAATGGTATAAAACTGGGGTAGTCCTTATAAATTGTGAATGGATGTGGAGCTGGATGAAATAGAAAGTGAAGACTGCAGTGGATCTGAAGGAACTCAACAGTTTCAGAGCTGACTATAACAAGCTGTCTCTGCCATCTCAGCCCAGAGGCTTTCTGTGGACCTCAACTCCACATTTCTCAAAGTAGTTGCATAACCTTTTCCAAACTTTCAAAATTATAAATTATTTATTGCTGGGTGCAGTGGTGTTCTCTTGTATCAGCCTCAACAATGCAGAGCAGCTTCACTGTACTGAGGCAGCCTCCCTGGGGAGCCTCGAGACAGCGCCTGCTCAGATGGGTTTATAATTGTTCTGGGAGCAGCATTTCTATCTAAACTACAATATCTAAGTGTACAATCATGAAAAGGAAAGACAGTCTTGACGCCGCATAGAGTTCCCTACGAGTCCTCTGTCCAAACTATGTTCCTGGGCTGCATGTTGATCAGGATGAATACACAGATTTCTGCATAAGGCAAGCTAAGATGCTTGTTGTCAATTGTAACGGAAAAAAATATGGATTGGATTTCACCTCCACCATCTGAAATCTAATTCCCTGATCTTCAGATCCACAGCGGGGAAATGTACAGTGTTACAGCAAAAGTGGCATAGCAGGTAAAAGAAAGCGTGCTATAATACAACAAATGTAAGATAGGCAGACATTAGCCTTAAAATAGAGAGAAATAAGTCAATAAGTAGACAACCATGGCTAAAACAGATTTGTAGGAGCAATTTAACTTAAACTAATTGAGATAAATAGCATATTAAAGTATTGCGATCATTTATGACAAGATGTATTTTACATAGTCATAATAGAACCGTACAATCACAAACAGGGGTTTACTGTATATTGCACAATATGTCAACAGTCCGTATTGTGTGGTGGTGTACGAGGGGGCCGTGGTGGGTCTACACAGCCTGACTGCTACAGGAAGAATGTGGCTTTTAGAAAAAAGAGAAAACTCTTCTTCTCTGTTTCAAAGAGATATATGAGACACATTTCCTGTCGAATACACTGTAGCCAGTCTTACAGACGAAAGCAATGAAGGAAGCTTTCCCTTAACTGGTGTCACCACAATGCCACTTTAAAGTTTCACAAGTACGTAAGGTGTGTATGTGTCTGGAACAGGATGTGTCTTTATTTGATGAATCATAGGACCTGTTTTCAGTCTTGTCACATCTTCATCAAATGTATTTTGACTCTCAGTTAGGGCCTGTCTCATGATGCACTGTTTTGAAGTTAAGGCCTGTAACTAACAATTATCTTCCACATGCATTAATCTGACCATAACTTTGTTGAATTAACGTTGACAATGTACTTAAACCAAAGGAGACGTCTTTGGATAGCTTGTTTTGTACGACAAGAGATGTTCAGTTTACTGTCACTAAAGATAGAAAAGCATTAAACCCCACAATTAAGAAGCTGGAAGAAAAAATGTTATTTACTTAAAAAACTGGGACATTTACCCATTAGTTTTTAATTAAATATACTGCCAATCAATAGATTAAGCAAATAATTGTTTCAGCTCTAATGAATTTTAAACAGCTCAGTTAAACCAACAGTGTGTTCACAGTGCTGAGTGAATATCCTTTTCTAAATGAGGCACACGGACTGAAGAGCTGTTCTGGTTTTGGCTCAGTTTTGCCAGTGGCGAACCGTCAGGGCCTTCAAGGTATTCAGAGAATACCCTGGAACACTCAGATCAAACAAACAAAAAATCGATTTAATTATATAAATAAAATGTATATAAAATGAATAAATGAGAATCGTATCTGTGTTGTTGATCTGTAATATTACAGTGTTACGTTGATTTGTTTGTCCTTCTCGGACCATGCTCTACGCATTTCAGTGGTTTTGTGTTAGAAAAGAAAGCAACCAATCAGATCTTGTTCTGGGTCTCTGGGTAGAATATCCTTCAACCAAGGTATTCTACATCCTTGATCGAATGCCCTGGCCGTTGCACTGAATGAGAGCGCACGTTTGGACTGACAGTTTGATCAACCAATCATATATTGATTTATAGCCAATGGGCGTATTCTTTCAGAGTTTCCCTCGGTTCCAGGGTACTCTAGAACAGTGTTTCTCAAAGTGGGGGCCCCGGGCGCCATGGGGGTCACGCAAAGTTTGAGGGAAAAGGGAATTTTTATTTTTTTAAAGTTGCATTTTAAAAAAAAAATTGTTCGATGTTATTAATAACTGCATATCTATCAATCTATGTGTCCTTTGATGCCAATCTTTTAATTTCTTTTAAATCACACGACCGCCCTTCAAGCCAATCAGAATCGATCTGCTGCTACTGAGAGTGAAAATCTGCTCAGCTTTTGGAGCAAGTGAGAGCTAGTGAATATTTCGCTCTGCAGCTGGATTAGAGTCGCAGAATTATGTATATGTCGCAGAATTGCTTGCATACATCAGATTTATTTAAAAAGACAACTTTGTTGAGGAAATATTATTTTGCAAAGCACTGGAAGGTAGGACCACAGGAAGAGACATTTTCCAAGTTTTAGATGAGTACATCATCTCAAATGGACTTGACTGGTCTCGTTGTGTGGGTGTGTGTTCAGGTGGGTCAGTGGGGCTATGACAGGCAAACAAAGCGGAGTGACAGCTTTGATCATGCAGAAGGCCCCAAATGTAGTGGCAACGCATGCATGCTCCATCGCAAGGCACTTGTACACATCATAAAAAAAAAAAAATTGCAACAGAGGATAATGCTATATGGGGGACCTTGGCATGGCAAAGTTGGGAATGCCTGCTCTAGAAGGCCCGCTAGTTAACTGGCTCGAGACAGAGGATTTAGAATGAATGCGACGAAGCAATTCATGCCGTTTTATTGTTTTTAACGTTGAAATGGCAAGTGCAACAGGTGAAGATGATGTTGTTGCGGAATCGTTGTGAGTACCCTTTTCAAGACGACAATTCAGTGAAAAGACGGACATTATACGCAGGAGGTTTTTTTAGACGGCGGGGGGGGGGGTGGGGGTGTGTGTGTGTGTGTGTGTGTGTGTGTGTGTGGTGTGTGTGTGTGTGTGTGTGTGTGTGTGTGGTGTGTGTGTGTGTGTGTGTGTGTGTGTGTGTGTGTGTGTGTGTGTGTGTGTGTGTGTGTGTGTGTGTGTGTGTGTGTGTGTGTGTGTGTGTGTGTGTGTGTGTGTGTGTGTGTGTGTGTGTGTGTGTGTGTTGTGTGTGTGTGTGTGTGTGTGTGTGTGTGTGTGTGTGTGTGTGTGTGTGTGTGTGTGTGTGTGTGTGTGTGTGGGGGTGTTGGTGTCTATAGAAGGTCCAGTTGTGATACACGGTTCGCCACTGAGTTTTGCCAACTCGGTAATCCTACTTCATTGGAAACATTTGCATATTTGTATACGAGTGTTTACTTGCCTCAATGTAACTTTATTCTTGCAGTCTGGTTTATTTAACTATCTCTCTTTTCAACAATGAGCACATGCATGATTTATATTATGACATATTCTTATATTCAGTATTTTTAGGGCAAAAAATTCAACCATACATCTGCTTAGAAAACCGATGCTCCTTATAACTCCCCAACTTCTCTGTGAATCATGTTTTTCTTCAGTATCAACTACTCTCACTATCAAAGAAATCCAGGGCTGTCTCACTTTTATCTGAGGGGAAACCCAGGGAATTTTTAAACCACAGTTTTGGAAAGAATATGATCAAGTTGAGTTTTATTCTGACTCCTGCTGACACATGGTCCGACAGAACTGGGTTTTATTATGAACAGAAAATGGAAATCTGACCAATTGTCGTTTGAACACTTTGCTGCTTGACCACACACACTCACTAAATCTATCTGCCCCCTTTCTTCAATCCTCTGTCTGATGTTCTTTTTCTATCACTCTCTGTTTTGATTTCCTCCTCCAACCTTATTTTCCTCCCTTGCCCTCGTTTTTTTGTCTCCCGTCACACCTCTCCCCATTTTCTCCTTGTCCGTCATCCGTCCCTCATTTTCTTGCCTCTCGTCTCTCTCAGGAACACGAGGAGAGCAGCAGAGGTGTGGATGGATGAGTATAAAAACTTTTACTACGCTGCCGTCCCCTCAGCGAGAAACGTCCCCTATGGAAAGTAAGTACCACGAAGAGCGAGCCCTACAGGAGGCAGAGGGCGTAATGTAACAAGATCGTGAAATTACAAAGGCAGCCATGTGATGGGCAGATTAATTGGATTGCCAATCAGCAGTATGTCAGCTGTAAAATATATGACAGAAAGTTAATGTGGGTTAAAGAGGGCCAAAAGACTGCTTTATTATTTGACATGCAGAAGGGATTACTGTAACGATGGTCACACAATGCATTTGTAAAAAGGAGCAAGGACCCATGAAATAGGGATTTATTTATATATCAAACAGGCTTGTTATATAGGTTTTATACATGTCATGCAACTGTATTTTTGAATTCATCAATTGTATGGTATTTTCTGCTACTTTATTTCACTTTATCTGTAAACTAGCTGACTTTTGTTCTGTGCAGCACAACAATAAGTACTCACATCCATACAGAGCAGCTGTAAGCAGTTATTTTCTGTGCCGGATGCCTCTGTTATCTGCCTTCACAGAGTGTCTTAGATTTAATAAATGTTTTGAGAGACAGTTAGATCAAACCTCTAATTCTCTCTCTCTCTCTCTCTCTCTCTCTCTCTCTCTCTCTCTCTCTCTCTCTCTCTCTCTATCTCTCTCTCTCTCTCTCTCCTCTCTCCTCTCTCTCTCTCTCTCTCTCTCTCTCTCTCTCTCTCAGTATCCAGAGTCGTATGGAGATGAAGAAGAGATTAGGATGCAAACCATTTAAATGGTACCTGGACAATGTCTACCCGGAACTACGGTAAGAGAATTGGAGCTTTTTTCGATGAAATATGATAGGGGTATAGATATAATATTACGTAATAAGAACTTAATGAAATTTAACAAAACTTCTGAGTGGCAGTTTCAGTATGACAAGAACTCAGTTGGTAAGAAACCGCAGCTCTGCCAGCAGTATCGGTATGACTGTGATCTCCTCTGTGCTGCCAGCTAAGGTTTCATACTTGAATAAAGCTCTCTAGGATCTGTGATGACACTAATGACTAACTCAGACTAGCAATTATGACTCAGGCCCATTATTACATTGTGTCAGGTTTGCAATTTGTCACTCTCAGGAATGATATTAATTATGTATAAATATCACAGATCTAAATTTGAATAATTTCAGATGCAACAAGGTTATATTATCCTATACTTTAGAATAAAATTGCTCACCTTATTTAACTCAAACTGCTTTTCTTATCTTTAGTGTTAGTTTACACTATTTACTTTTATATAATAAATCCTTAATATTTGGGGTGGGTGAAAAAAATAAAATCATGAAAGAATAGAGATTCCTATCTTCTAGGATTTCGATAGTGATCCTACACACCAAAGCGAAGTTTTCTCAAATAGAACTGTGTGATTGGTTAAAAAAAAACACAAAATAACAATTTTAAGGAAACTTATCATGTCAGTGTGACTAAAAATGTTGTTTTGTATACAATTCATTTTCTAAATTGGCCCCAAAAGGGCAGCTAGCCTAAGCCAATGAGTTGTTTTAATTTAACAGGCATCATTTATATATTTTTTAGCATAAACCTTTTTTTTCTTGAAGTCAGTAAAAAACATTCTAGTAAGAAGTGTACCTTAACGAAATGGTACCTCTTTGTTTCAGGTTTGCTGTATTGTTATACTGCACTCAGTTTAAATATCTTTTTAAGTATTAAAAACATAATCCTTTACACACTTTACTCTGCCTCCATGTTATCATTTGCCCACCGCCCTTTATTAGAGCACAGCGGACTGGAGTAGATGAAATTAGCAACCCTATGTACAGAGTGCAGAATCGTTTTGAATCCAATCGTGACCCCAAGAATCGAATTAAATCGTGAGAAACCAAACGATTCACACCCTACTTAATGTCTTAGATTTGATACAAACATGATGAGGGGAAATATTTAACAACACGGTGTCTGTGTGTGTTCAGTGTCCCGGACCACCAGGACATCGCGTTCGGAGCGCTGCAGCAGGGAGGAAACTGTCTGGACACTCTGGGCCACTTTGCTGACGGCGTGGTGGGCGTCTACGAATGCCACAACGCCGGAGGAAACCAGGTAGCGTTACTACGACGACACACACAGGTCAGCATGTCAGTTTCTTTGTTTTAAAGCCCCACGGTGGCAGCTGGTGACACTGGTGGTGAAAGAAGAGGGGATATGGTATGGGATTCAATGTTGGTCTTTCAGTGACCCTGCACAATATGCACTTTTTTAACTCACACTCTACCTCACTACTTTGCACACTTGTCTGATGCATACAGCGTCCCATGACGATGTAAAGCCAACATGCATCCGGAAGCCAATTTTAACAAGTGTAACATACCCATTGTTTTCTCAGGTCTGGTTTACTAACATCATTTTGCAAAAATTGCCACTTGACATCAAATTAAATTGTACAGTCTCAAATGTTCTCATAATAAGTTGCCACTCTTTTTTTTAGATATGTAAACAACATTATGGTTCTTTTGGCATAAATCTCCCTGTGATGACATGCAGACACTGAAATAAAGTCTAACTCCACCAGCACTATGACACGTTGTTGTTTGTTAGATCTGCAAAGCACATCCATAACACAGCAACAACGTTCCTTTTTATTTCTTTTTTAATTTAAAAAAAGTTGAAATACTTAGAGAACATTGAAAGAAATGTTTTTTTTTTTGGAAAAGGTTTCTTACTGAGCGTTCTTACTGATTTTTTTTTTGATTACCTTGATGTACAGTACTTCAACGTATACTGTGTATAAAGTTATAAGATAAAACATCATATCAACATGATATTAGCCAATGCTCAATATAAAATGAATTGCTCAGAACATCCTTAACTCCAGTGTTCGAATGTGTATCAAACTATAGTTTTAATTAAATTAATTTGTATAATCCAAAGGAGTGGGCCCTGACCAAGGATAAGTCTGTGAAGCACATGGACCTGTGTCTGACCGTGGTGGAGCGCACGGCCGGCTCCCTCATCAAACTACAGGGCTGTCGAGAGAACGACAGCCGACAGGTAAACACGGTAATATAAGAACATCGAATGCATATTATTGCACTTTTACATACATCATATATTATAACACAAACTGCCTCTATGTATGATCTCTACTGACATATATAACTATCAGTAGCTCTCACCTTGCTGCTTACGGTTTTAAGGATGATGTGCAATGTTTTGTGTGATTGTCTGTAGAGATTTCTATGATGCCAGGGAAATATTGGTAAAAAGTGTTTACTCTTTAGAAATGAATAACCCTTTGACCGTTTCATCTTCTATATCTTTGATGAAAATGCTTTTAAGGTAGATTTATTCATAAGCATGTAAGGTTACAAAAACGAGGTTACGGATTTTTTTACCTCTGAATGCACATCATGTTTGTTTATTTTATGTGAAACCTTTTATGCTGAAGTCTTGACAAGAATTCAGAATCTCAATATATTCTAGTTAAATGAGGATTAATTAATAATAAATAATTGAAACATTGTTGTGTCTCAGCAGAAATGGGAGCAGATTGAGTCCAACTCGAAGCTTCGTCACGTGGGTAGCAACCTCTGCCTGGACAGCCGCAATGCCAGGATGGGGGGCCTCACGGTGGAGGTCTGCAGCCCGAGCCTCAACCAGCAGTGGAAGTTCACCCTCAATCTACAATCATAGGGGGGGGCTGCGGACCCTGGGAAGAGCTGGATGTTTGATAGAGACACCAACAGACTCTGAGACACGGATTAAGAGATGGAAAAAGACTCTGGATGGATAAACGGATCCCTCTCGCTCCTCGGAGGTGCAGCAAGTCTATACACCTCTCCCCCACCCTCACCCCTCCCAAAAGAGCCAAACCCACCAGGGGAGGGGCTTGTAGACGTTGCTGGAGTAAACAGGAAACGGACTGTATTTGTTGGATGAAAGGTGAAAATGATGATCATTATGAGGATAAAAGCGATGGAGCGACTTTCCATTCAAACTACATACCTCAGTGTTTTTTCATTGATGGTTCCAGAAGCAAATGTTGTTATTTTACGTTCTTTAATGCAGGTGAGGTAGAACTGTTTTTACTTTGTAATTACATTATTATTGATATTTTTTATTGATTGCCGGTAACTCTCCGCGGAGGTTTCACAGGAACTCTTTTTTTCTTTTTCTTAAAGGAAGGTGACATTAATGTTGTTGTTCCTTTGGGCTTTCTCTCTGTCTCACCACACCGAGCCGGAGCCTGTAAAGGCAGGTGGAGGCTTCATGTTGAGGTCTGGGTGTAGAGTGATATGAAGGCTGGAAATGGACTCAACTCCTTGAGCTTTTCATCTTGTCATTAGTTCACAGGATCATTGGAGGAAAGAGAGCCACAGTGGAGAGAAGAAGCTGTGTGTTCTGCTTTGGTTTCTACACAGTTTCTTCTGCAGATTGGGTCTTGGGGAAAGGGGAAGGGTGTTAAGGGAGAAGCTTCTCTGCTTTGGTCGGGGCCTGAAACTGGTTTGGTTTGGTCGGAAGTTCAAAACCGAAACCAGGAAGTGTCTTGAAGCCACCCCTCAGGATTTACTGTTTGTCGTCGGGCTGCCGCACTGGCTGCCGCAGCATCTTCATGTCTACCCCATTATGTCTCTTTAAAAAAACAACTCTCTTAACACTCTTCTTTTGTCACACAAATAATGGAACCAAATTTTGAATGGATGTTTTTGTTTCAGGAATACAAGAACTTTGATTAAAAGGGTTTTTCTTCACAAGCTCTCGCTGCTCTCTAACTGCTCCCTGTGGAGCCGCTTAATTTATACATCTCCTTTCCTGCACAGATCATTTTCTTTGTGTCTAATATTGCCATTTAGGGATGTTTACTGTCACACCCACCTGGATTTCATGTTGCAGTTTTACCAACTGGTTTTGGCTGCAAAGGTATTACCGACATTTATCTATAATATTACCACAAGCAGATATCTTCCCAACTGAGATGGGTTTTTTACCTGATTTCAACACACACCTGCCTGCTCTTGTCCGGCAATAGAAGGAAACACTAATGTGTGGCAGACATTGACAAAGTAAAACGTTGCTTATTCCAGCCTCCAGAACAGTTTTTAATGCAAAAAGATAGAGGTTTCCTGACTAGTCAAACTGTACGAAATGTGCGTGTGTTCTTAGCTGCATGTATCACCAGCCAGCTCCCACACTTACAGTCGGTCGGTAGTGTCTCCATCAACATGTCTTTCTTTCCTTCATTGTGCCTGTTAGATGAGCCATCTGTTCTGAGGTTTGGATCTGCAATAAACAAGGTTTTACTGTTTGTCCCCCCACTCTGTTCTGCTGGAGGTGAGCAGATCTTTCTGATTGCACAAGCAGGACGAGATGAGAACACCTTTTCTTTATTTTGATTGATATTTATGAGCTCCTTTATTCTGAGGAACAAGATTTCGGTGTCCCCGAACCGCATTGTGCCACATCTTCATCTTTTGTTACCTGATAGTGTTACGGATGCCAGTTACAGTTCATACATCTGTGTGCTAATCCATTACCTGACGCCTGTTTTGCATCTTTGCAACAATAGTCTCTCCTCGCCTTCAACACAGGTTCCTCTTAGCTGCTATGCTTCTCTGTACTGTTAGTCACTGATGAGTCATGAAGGTACAATTACAAAATACAAAAATTCAGAGTGACACATCACTTGGCAGCTTCAAGGCAACATGAACACAAAACATCTTTAAGCATACGGTACAACACAAATTGCCTATAATCAACTATTTACTAGTTTATTCTAGAAAGAGGTTGCATCCTCAAGTGTTGTTTTAATGTCAAATATCCTCTCTGTATCCCTCTCTCATTTTCACATCCGTTCTCTTGATTTTTGTTTTACTGTGTTACAGTAACAGACAAAGACAGCTGCTCATGTTTACTGGGTTGTCTGGTTCTTTTCCATCCTCCGTTTCCATCCCATTGTTTGCTTTCTACCATTTTGTTCCTTGTACCGGATGTTTACCTTGTGTTCAACATTCACACGACTGTAGACAGAGTGAGGGGCGAAGTGAAGGTCAGATCAGACTGCAGTTGGATTCAAAATCATATCCTTAGACTTGACGTGTCGCTGCATTGTGCTGCGAGATTGAGCTGTGACTAGATGTGAGGAACGGTTTCTGTTGCTATGGTGACCAGGCTCAATGGCCCCAAGTCTGATTTAAGGTTTCCGTTTATTTTTGTGTTGAGCAGCAGGTGGATTTACCGCTCCTGTTATGTCTTAAATTCAGATTAAGTAGAAGATTGTTGCAAATCAATAACTGTAATATTGAAGAACTAATAGAAATTAAAGTAAAAAATATATATCTTATAATCAGTTGTTCCTTAACATCTCCTTTATGTGTATTACAACAGTGCCTCAGGTTTTAATTCTGTAATGGGGTAGATACATATGTTGTAGCCCCCACATTTAGTATCTTTTGACTACAAATTGTGTGGAAATCCTCAGAAACTACGTACAAAAGTCTTAAATTATGTTCACTATAAGAACCCAAAACTCTGAGCTATTCATTGTCAAAGCATCTGGCCCTTGTCCTATGTTGTGAGGATAAAATGCCGAGGTTTTTAATGGTGTATAGCGCCCTCTATTGTGGATAACAGCTATACAAAAAGGGACTAAAGGTATTAAACTTCTGATGCACAATGCACCAACGGGGACATTCCAAGATTTTTCTTAATCAAATTTTCTTCAGCTTGTTTCTATTATTAAAGTTTGAATCAAGCCCTAATAAAATGGCCAGCTAGTACAAACTTAACAGGCGTGAGAATCTAACTGCTAACCCCAGAGAGAGGTTGGTAATGCTGTCTGTTACAACTGTTCAGATATGTTGTTTGAAGCCTTTTCTTTGAAAAACCAGTCTTATTCTTGTGAAGATGAAAGAATGCTATTTTATTTGTTTGTTCTACGAATTTTGATTGGATTATTCAATGTTTACATCTTTAGCACTATGTGCCAACGTTTTCCTTCCTATTTTCTCTGTATGAGGAAGAATGAGAAGAGGTAAAAGTCATTGGAAATGCTGTCGCAAAGAACTGAATGCAAATTGCAGGTGGTATATGTTGTGTATCTCATTCTTCTTCCTAGTCCCAGTCAGACCTGCAGGACACACTGGGGCGGGTACGTCTCTAAGATGATGATGGTGTTGGTCTTATAATGGACACAGGTTGCAAATGTTTCATGTCTTTTAGATGTGTCTTCAAAAAGTCTGTTGTGGCAGAACTAACTCTGTGTGTTAGCTTAAAGCTAAATTCTAAAGGAGAACGAATGTTGTCAATATTGTAGACATGTATTATTAGAAAATACTTCACCCACAAAATTGATACGTACATAAATTAATCACCACCATTTTTCTCAAATGCCTCAACGGTGAAAGCAGAATCAAAATACAGAGACATTTCTTGATTAATTGTAATAAATGGGAGCTGTGTTAACATGGGCTGAATTATTCATAGTAAAAGGTTTTAGTATTTCTTTAAAAGGAGGTGTATAACTGATCACCAGTCAGTGAACAAGAGCATTTCCCCACCTGAGCAAGTAGGACTTTATTCATACTGTGTTTGGTGAACAATTAATGGCTTGATATTAACAGGTATGAAGGTGAGCTCTGTGTTCTCTCAGCCTTTTACCTCAAATGGGAAGCAGGGTAATTTCATGATTCTTCCTCAGCCCACCTTAAATCCTCTTTTAGGATTTACAGAAGAGTCCACTCTGATAAGTGAAAGCCCTGCGGAGACATCCAGCTCAGGACTGCTTAAGCTTCCCATCTTTTGCTACCAGTTTCAGTCACAGTGTGTGTGAGTCCAGACATGAGAGGGGCTTTGGACAAAATACTCTTCCCTTCAACCATGAAAGATATAAGGTGCAACAGTAATCAATGAACTACAGGGGTGATGATGTGTTTTCTAAGAGGAGTGTGGCTTCATTGGAGGACAGTGGTGGGTGTTATGGCAAGAAACATGTAAAAGTGTATATTTTTGTATATACCTACATCAGTGTGTGTACAGTATGTACATATATACACAGTGTACTCAGCCGCGGTTCCTAGTTTTGTTGTCAGACTGTACAGCGCTTCTAACTGTCCCCTGTTTTATAGATTCTGCAGAAATTCAACTTTGAATGAGGAGAAATGATTAACTTAAATAAATGCATTTATATATAAAACTGTGTCGAGTATTTTGGTCCGCTTCAGTGGTTGATGGTGCATGATCGCAAAAATGTCACTAACACGATTCATACCCAGAGAATATTGAAGTTTCTGTTTCAGTAATGCAGCTGTGTAACTGGACCACTATCTGCAACAACCTCCATCATCCAAAGATGGACAAAGTGTTTTACATGCATTATGAAACAAATACCAACAATTAAAGAAGATTTTTCTATACATCAGTCAAATGTTTCTCTAATTTGGATCTTAAATTGAGTGAATGAAAGCATTTGTCAACTTTGAAATAGAAATTCTGGTAGACCTTTGAATTAATAAATTACATATTGTGGTCATTAACTGCATGATAAACAGTTCAAATGTGATGAATAATGTAAAAGTCTGCTAAGCCTCACATTTCTGAAAAATGCAGATTGGTGATGTTTTCTCTGGCAGATGTGTTACTGGGGCAAATACTTCAAAAACACAATGAAGTGACAAATGTATAATGAGATGTGCATCATATGAACAAATGCTTGTTTACTTCATCTTTGAAATGTAATTCAAGTTGTAGTCCTGTATTCTATACTCTTGGTCCTGTAATCTGTTTACAGGAGAGGGTCGGTGAAAAACATAAAGCAGTTTAACAAGATTTTGTATTAAAAGCAGGCAAGAATAGTGCAAAGTAGCACATGAAATGCAAGAAATCTTTACAAAACAATGTGATGCGGACGATCACCAGTTAAAACATTAAAACATAGAATCTTATAACATTAGAAAATGAATATAGATCAAACCAAAAGGGACACAATATGACGGAGACAAAACAAAACAAATGAGAGCAGACAATGCAAGTAATTAATGATAATTAATTTGCTTACAGTGCTTACAGTGAATGTACTCTACTCAAGTACTGTAGTAACAAATGTTGAAGAGCCTGTACTGAAATGGAACATTTCCATTTTGCTTATACTTTTATTCCACAACATTTGTGTGACAGCTAAAGTTACTTTAGATCACAATTATTCATTATTTTCCTTTCCAGTGAAAACTTTCCAGATGTGGTGATTAATTCAAGGGTAAAGTTCTCCTTTGTGTGTTGAGAAAATTGTAGTACTTTTTAATATCAGTGAGCAAACAAAATACTATGAGCCAGCAACAATATACATCAAACGTTTACTGATAAAATAACTATGTATGTTATCACTGACAGAGCATCAGTAGGCCTAATGCATTGTTCACTACACCTAACAGTGGACACCAGTAGCCGTCTGTGAGGTCTCCTCTCCGGCAGGGGGCGCTGAGAGTCGCCCGGACACCCAGAGGACCGGAGAAGAAGCCAGGGCTCAGGGCAGAAGCTGATTAGAGGAACAGCCAGCAGACACAGGTGGTGGTCGGTGGCATCTGACAGGAGAACAATAAACAGACAAAACAACATGAACGAAGGTATAGAGGGGACGGAGCGGTTCCTGAGCCCGGGCAGCGGCAGGGGCCTGCGGGCGGTGAGGCACTTCTCTGCGGGGGAGCTGGTGTTCGCCTGCCCGGCTTACTCGTACGTGTTGACGGTGAATGAGAGGGAAGCACACTGTGAGAACTGCTTCTCCAGGTAACACCTTACCTCCATAACACAGCTGGGAAAACACCTTTGGGACGGCTAGCTCCAGGGTGTTGTGTTTTATTGTGTTCTTTTATTAAAGCAAAGAAAGGGGCTGAAGGGTTCAGATGGACGCAGGCTAACCTCCATGCATAGCTAGGTTAGCTTGTGAACCTCTGCAGACTTAAGTGGGTCAGTGCAGGCAGTAGCTCACCTGACTGACTCTGCAGAATGTTTTCAATGCACTGCAGTCAGGAGAGCCTAAAATAGATGCAAACATTAGTAGTACTACAGTGGTTATAAAGAAACCTGCTTCCCTGTTGTCACAATGAGTCTATTTATATGCTAGCACACATTCTTAAATAGGCTACTCATAATCACAGGTAGTGCAGGAAGAAATATTGACATATGTCACTTAAGTAACAGTATATGAATGTTCTGTTACCATTGAAAGTACTGCATTCAAAATGTATATTAAGTACCTAAAGTAAAATCATGCAGGATGAAACATTTCTTAATCATAAATATTGCATTGCTGGATTACAATTTTTACATTTGTTATTATCCAATAATATGTTTATCACTTTAGTAGTGTAGTCAATGAAGGTGGGGCTCATAATATTCCCTTTTTACACTGATAGGTATCTTAACATATCAATAATTTATGGTTGAGTTACATTATGTTTTAAGATTATGAGAAAAATATACAATATATCCTTGTGAATTAATGTGAAGTAGAAGTAGAAAGTAAAATAAAATGGACACACTCAAGTCAAGTACCGCAAAGTTTCACAGTATTTTGATAAATGTATTTAGTTATAAAATACCACTGATAACGGGTAGTTAGCTCACTTAAAGAGTCACTTCAGTCATGTTCTAACGTTTCTTCGTAGTCACATTTCTGCCTTCACCACCACAATTCAAGTACTCTCTGTTTATCTCTACGAATCCTACACATGCTTTTATGAACCTAAAAGTCAACGCAAGAAAGACAACCCTGCAGTCTATTATATAATGTTCTATGTTTGTTATTTTTAAGTATAAAGTTTAACTCATGTGTCAGTTGTACATGAATTCAGGAACGGTGTAGGATGTGGAGTGGTTGAAACAGCGCATATAAGCTTCAGAAAGTATTGACGTGTGATGCAGTGCACCTCTTTAAGTTTCCAATTTTAAACTTGCCTACTTTTTCTGTTGAGATCTGATGCACATTGAAGCTCTTTTTGAGACTTTTCAGAGTTAAATGAACTCTCCCTCTCTGTCTGCCACTTTCATTCACACATGCTTCCTAGTTCCTACTCAAGCTGCCGTTACATTTTGTAGAGCAGTAAAAGGTTAGGGTGCTAAAAATAGTTGTCCATGTGTCCGAAGACAGGAGGAAAAGGCCAGGGGTAAGAGTCCAATGGAGGTGGTGGACATGTGTGTACATCTGTTCATAATCACTCAGAAACACTCTATGAATGTGTCTCCTGCTGAGATAATCCTTAATCACTTGTGTTAAACAACTGACTTGACTGGAATGGAATTGGCTTGTAATTCAATTGGAAAGTCTTATGCATATGGAGTAGTTATGAATAAAAGGTTTTGGCAACTTATGAATTGCTGTTTTTGTTTCAGCTTATTTGTTATTAATTTGTGTATTCCTGCTTTTGTCACATGATTAAAGCAAACCTACAAGACTTTCCGTTTAACAATGAATATGCCAAGTTTCTAAAACATTTGTATTTAATCCCACGGTTAGCAACTGTAAGCATCAGGTAAAGACTTCTCCCCAGCTGAAGGAGTGTGTTATTTCATGTAGATGAATATGTTTATATCCTGCGGAAATACTGTTACACCGACACATTTATCACATCTGTAGTGGAGTAACGTGTTGTGTCTTCATGTCGTTGCAGGAGAGAAGACCTTTTTAAGTGTGGAAAATGTAAGCAGGCCCACTACTGCAATGTAGAGTGTCAGGTAAGAGTGCTTTCTGCTTCCCTTTTTGAATTTTCATGGCAGGCTTGTTGTTTCTATTTGCAAATATGTGTACCAATGTATATGGTCAACTGAAGGAACTGAACACAAACAGGTTATCGGTTACATACATCCAAAAAACGTTGTCAGACATTTTGACTGACAACGATCTCTGAGTCTGTTACATCAAAATGTTGCACAATTTAAAAATGGCTGAAAAACACAATGTGCAGATTTTTCGTGTAATTGTTAACTAAAGAAACTGAAATAATATAAGTAATGTTTAGTTAAAAAATATGTCTTAAAAATCTTCTTTGTTCTTGTAACCAACATTTGAACGTTGGACCCCACAGCTCCATTCAGGCACACATTTAAACTGCTGTTGCTATGACGATTCAGTCCCTCTGCCTCTGTCTAGTTTTAGTTTCATGTCATAAAACACACTCGGCACACTGCAGTAAAAGTAAGGAGTTTTCTATTGTCTTGTACAAATGCAACGGCCAATAATTTATAGATGATAATACAAATAATTGATCATCCATTGTGTTAATTTAATTTGCTCTGTCTTCTTGTCTCACATTATTGCTTTTGTCTCTCAAGTATTGTCCTGTTGAATAAGAGGAATTGCTGTAATAAAGGAGGGTTACTAACTGTTCTCCATGTGTGTGTTATTTGTGCAGAGAAGCGATTGGACCATGCATAAGCTGGAGTGTGTAGCTATGTGTGCCGATGGGGAGAACTGGTGTCCATCAGAGACTGTCCGACTGGTGGCTCGAATCATCCTCAAACAGGTACATTAACAAGAAAAACAAGTATATGTTAGCAACCAGTTAACCATAAGAGTTAATATGGTATTTCCCCGTCACCACCAGAGCATGGAAAACTAAAAGTAGGAACATTAAAGAAGATAACGAGTCAAATAATATAAGTAGCTGTTTAGATATAATGTAAATGTCATGAGCTAGATCTTATTTTAGGCAATAAACTAGCTCTAAGCCGCTGGAGAAACAATGCACCAACTTAACTGATCTCAGTTTATTTTGATACTTTTGCATGAGTAGTGTTATAGGTGTATAATTAGTTTAAGTTTATCAGCTTTGACCACATTAAACACACTCTGAGCGAGTTAAAACAATAACACAAAGCAAACTATACTTTAGCAACGTGAACATAGCCTTCTTATTGGAATATTTGACGTCTGTGTTTAAAGTAAATGTTAGCGCCATTTAACACCAAAGTTTCTGAAGCCGATGCTGCTTTCTTGCACTTTAAAAAAACAAACATTTGTGATAATAAAGCCTGGAAAAAGGTTGTTTTTATTTTCATGATTATTCATTTAAATGTCTGTCATGTTGCAGAGAGTAACACCAGAGCGCGACCCTTCTGAAAGGCTGCTACTGCTCAGCGAGTTTGAAGCCCGTAAGTAGATATATATATGTGTGTGTCTGTGTGTGTAGGAGTATATGAGCA